AAATTAAATACTATACATACTAGTGCATAAAATAACACTTTTAAATGATAACTATGATAACACAATGTAGTACTTACTGAAAATATTTTTACTGCCTCTGTGGCCGAACGGTTACCATGCAGAGGTCCCAGGCTCAATTCCCGGATGTGGAGAAATATTTGTATGGCCTACATTTATTTCTCTCGTGAGTTTGGATGTAATTTGTGGTTGTCTACGTGTGTGTCCATGGCACCTTAATATCCAAGGTTTACCACCTCCACCAGATCTTTTAGTATTCTTTACTTTATCCAATTTGCATAAACTCTTACAACGTCCAATAGAGTAAAAACCCTAATTGTAGTATGTTTTTAAATAAAATCTACTGAAGACGCGCTATAACGTGTTTGTCAATAAGTACAAACACTACAGAATGTCTATAAATTAAATATATCTAGAATAAACTTAACAACACTAGTTTTCAGAGTATTAATAGGCTTTACTGGATGTGTATAGAACAATTTTACTAAAAATAATCAGTTGTTCTACAGATGAACTTAAAATAAGGACTATAAGAGTAAATCTTAAGAGAGATTACACTTAATTAAGTTGTTTGGTATTGAGGTTTTAAAATTTGGACTTGAGTGAAATAAGTCTATAAGAACAACTTCTTTTTTCTAAAACCATTTATAGAGAACTATTATCTAAATCTATACCATATTAAGACTGTTTATAGATATAACAGTTTTAAGGCGTTTAAAGTGTGCTCCTTGGGTACTTAAATTCGATTTTTTCCAGTTTCAAAAACTATGCTTTACAACTTACATGTAGCAGCAGTAGAGCTTCTTGTGAAAAAGTCCGTCCATGGAAGTACTGCAACCTTACCTATTTTTGTCCTCAAGCAGTAAGGTGAGCATTACTGCGTTCCGATATGGAAAGGTAGGGGTGCACGTCACAAGGCTATACGCCGGGGTGACCCGGAGTATGGCCTTATACGGGGCTCCCCTGCGAATGTGCAGGGCGTACATGACGGTGGCCTGCGCTGCCGCATGCGTCCTCGCCGGTACTCCGCCGTGGGACCTCGAAGCCGAGGTCCTGGCGGAGGTCCGTACCTACCGGCGGGGAATGAGGGACCGAGGCGAGCGACCCGCTCCCCAAGAGGTGGAGCGGGAGCGCCGCCTCGCGGCGCAGCGCATGCGGACCGGTGGAAAGAGGGCTTGGCGGATCCCCCCTATGGTGCTCGTACCATAGATGCGATTCGCCCTGTCCTTCTAGAGTGGGTAAACCGGTCCCACGGGCCACTGTCGTACCACCTTGTGCAGGTGCTGACAGGGCACGGCTGCTTCGGTCACTACCTACACAAGGTGGCGAGGAGGGAACCGTCCCCATCGTGCCACGAGTGCGGCGCTGCGGATGACACCGCGCAGCACACCCTAGAGATGCTCGATAGCGAGGAGTCCTGGGAGGCGGTGGACTCGGCGGACGCGCACCCGCTCCGGCGCAGACGTACGGGGAGAAGGCGAAGGCAGTTCGCTGCTCGCCTGATCCCCTAGTGAGACCAGCGGGCTCTGGACAGGGACTCCGGAGCCTGCATTGCACGGCCTCACTCGTCTGGGGGGCGGGTCGGAGGACAACTGAATCGTCCCTCCGTTGGCGCGGGAGCCCTGGCGCAAGCTAGGGCGGCCGGGCGGCGTCGTGGTGAATGTTCACTGATCCCACGGCGCCGACTCAACCGGCGAGAGGGAAACCCGGGGGGGTTTTAGTGGGGTAGGCCTTCCAGTGTGGAGGGAGAGTCCCCACATAACCCCTGAGTCTCCCTGGGCTCAGGGGTATCCATAAAGATTTCTCCCCCGTCAAAAAAAAAAGGGGGTGCACGTCACCCTGAGACGTAAGTTGAAACACCTTTACCGTTCAAAACTGACCTTAATGGTCACATTACTGCTTAGCGACATAAATAGGTAAGGTGGCAGTACTTCTCTGAACGAACTTTTTCATAAGATGATATACTGCTACTAAAGTATGCCTAAGTAGCTATATTAATTTAATATACTAGCTAGGATTCTAACTCCATTATAAATTCTGATATTTTAAACTATGCCGTTATTTGGTTAGCAGATCGTTATTATCGCCCATCAGTTTTAAAAAACATCATCGCCTTCATTTGGTACGTAGATACCTATTATTACAGTTCCAAATCTTAGCATTATATCTTTGGAATCTAAACAAATCATTGTCACCTGTACCATCACAAAAAACAATATGTGATTTTTGTTCTTTATCTTATAGGTTTCATATTTTGAAAAAATGAGCGATTTGATTAGGATTAAAATGACGTTCGATTTCTTCTATAAAATGCAGAATTAGTATGGGAAGCAGCTAACATCATTCTGTATTATTATTACGAATAGCATGGTATACTAAACTTGTTGTTTGCATAAGAAAAGAAGCCTCTCCGCACGATATACCGTTTCTTTCTTGTGCGTCTGACGAGTACCTTACGCTGATTGGCAAACATTTTCACAACAATGGCGTGCATTATAATGTATGAACCCATCAATGCGGTCGGTCATCCTCGATTAGTGCATGTTGATCATTCAGTGGATCTAAACTCCAGTCAATGAATGTGTGTGTCAAGAGGGTTTCTTCGGAAATAGACAAATAACAATTCTGACAACGGTCTAGCACCTACCATATTTACCTAAAAGGCTTAAGTGCCGACGAGGCGTAGATCTCGTTCAGAATTTGCTATTTAATTTAAGCCTACTTAGTCGTCTTAACTGGACATAATGGAGTTTGTCGACACTTCCAACGGATTATAAGGGAGCTGGTCGAATAGCATTGTTGGTGAGTTTGAATTTAAATACGTACATAAGGATACACACGACGTTGTATTTTAATTTATACTGATGCAGTAAAACCATTAATTTGACTGTTTTTCCTGTGACAAAAATTCCAAGCAGACGTAAGACTTCTACTTATTAATAATTCTCATAAAAAAATGAAGTTAATTTAGTAAAAATTCAATCTTTTTTAGTCAATTTACTAAAGTTTCAATAAAATGTTTTGCAAAACATATATATATATATATATAGTGTATATTGTAATTTTCTTAGGTAAATTATTTTTAGTAGCAGTAGACCTCCATGTGAATGAGTTCGTCCAGGGAAGTACTGCCACCTTACCTATTTCTGTTGCCAAGCGATAATGTTACATTACTGCGTTCCGGTTTTGAAGGGTAAAGGTGCTGGTGAAACCTGAGACATAAGTTGACAAGTCCTATGTGCCTGTGACAGGCGCAGTTGCAGTGCCCTCCATATATTTCCGATTTAAAGCTCTGAGTGGCACTGCACTCTTACTCTGACTTTCGTCCCCTCATTTGATATTATTAAAAAAATCAGAATAAGATATTTTAATTACTAACTTTGGTTTAACTAACTTTATTTCAGAAAAAGGTGTTTACTTTAACATTAGACATAACTTGTTGATGACTTTGCCATATCAGTTAGCCATGACCTAAGCTGTGACATACATTTTAAAGGCCACCGAAACGTTGGTGTGTTTGAAAAAACAAATATACGCGGCTACCTCTTCGTTATAGCTGAAAATCAGCGGTTTGCTCCTGAGTAAACACCGACGCTGAGCTATGGAGTTTTTGCACTGCTACACTACACATACATAACTGGGTGTTCGGCAGTGCTGCGACTCTGCTGGTTTTTTCCTTTTTATTATATTACATATTTTTCTGTTATGTATGTGTGTCTGGAGATCCAAATAAACGTTTTATCTATATATATCTATTTAAATCCGAAACAACGTATAGCAATTGCAAAAGCCTAAGAACTCGATACCTTTTAATATGAAAGCAATTATTAAGGTAAATCAAAGATAAATTATACAACCTGCAATTTATGTTTGAAGTACCTAATTACTTAAGTTTTAACAAAATTTTAAGTATACGTTTATCTACTCGTGTCCTAATAGAGCTATTAGTACACTCATACAATAAAAATGCAGTTTAATAAAGTCACGCCTTCCGGGTCAGCTAGTTCGTCAAAATATACTTTTCCACAGAATCGATGATTACTCAATAGCTGGTAAGTGATTGTTTACACGCATAAATTAAGTTACATTTTAGTTAATTATATACTTAGTCACATAATGGGTGTAAACTTGCGAGTAGTGCCAGTCACGGCAGAAGTAGTATTTATGTGGTCTTTGGAAACGCCAACAACACGTCAAGCTTTTTTATGTTACTAAGTGACGGACAAATAAGTCGTGCGTCTGGTGGTAAGCGACACGCCTGTCCATAGCAGTTACCACTCAGAGCTATAAAACGCAAAGATCTGAGGGGCACTGCCTCAAGATGGGCACCCTCAAGTCCCATGTGCCTGTAATGTCACCAACACCCTTACCCCTCAAAACCGGAACGAAGTAATACCGGTTGGCGGCAGAAATAGGCAAGGTGGCAATACTTCCTTGGAGGAACTCTTTCACAAGGGGCTCTATTGCCACTAAAAACTACTACTATTGATGTCTATACATATAAAATACATGTTCTATGATGTATTTGTCAAGTAATATATTGTTCACGTTGCAATAAATAAATAAAATAAATACTCTTGCCATAAAAGAAAAGAAAAATACTGTGCCACTCGGAGGTTTAAATCGCAAAGATGCACTGCTGCTGCGCCCATCACCCCACGACGTAAGTTGACAACGTTCATGTGCCTGTAATTTCACTAGCACCCTTACCTTTCGAAACCTGGAACGCAATAATCACATTACTATTTGGCGGCAGAAATAGATAAGTTGGCAGTACTGTCCTGGTAACAAATACACTTTTGTTAGAATATCGCCTACCGTGCAACGGAACAAGATCCGTCAATGTGTAGCTTGTGCTGCCGCATAGATATAATATATATTTGTTGCCGTCTGTACTATTAATTCCACTTCAAAGCGTGACTGCAGGCAGTCAAGGTTGCAATAAAAGATTGTTGTAACGAAACAACTTACGAATACGGCCTCGCGACTCCTCAGATACCGTTTATCTTTAGAGGCACCTTTCGCAGTGTACTGTACTGCAGTTCAACGTAAAACTATCATTTAATCTTTATTAATAAGTATTTCTTTTAATTTTTTTTATTGTAATTAATACCTGTTCCTCAAATGGCTTTAGAGAAGGTGTGGTGCAAATTCTCAGTGACGAAAAGTGATGGATCGATAATGAAATTGCGTATACAAGACATGCCAAGTGACCGACTTGACGATGCTGTAGATTTAAATATTTGGTATTTTTCTCCTGAAGAAACTTTTCACAGAGCTGCTGGTAAGTTCTTTAGACTTATTCCGATTCTTGATACCATTACCAAGATATTTTACATAACATGTTTTATTTATTATTTACTTGTTATCTCATGAAATTGGATACTAAGTTAATTAGGATAGGTTTTATAATACGTTTATAAAAAAGTTGTGAGGTTAATTAGGTAACTATTTTTTTTTATTACATTATTAATTGTAAGGAATTATGGTTTTTTACTAAAAATAGCGGTTTAATTCTGTGAAATTGTTCCACTAGTTTATTATAATTATTAATACAAAAATCGAACACAGAGAAAAATTTCTTCGATCTCACGGAACTCGATCCTGTATCTGTAATACCAATTTAGTGCAATCACTGTACCAATTGAGGTACAGATCAAGTCAGCAGCAGGCTTTACGGATTTGTCAAAGCCTTGTGTTCGATCTATATATTAATAATTATAGCATTATTTATTTATTTACATTTTATATTAGGTTTTTTCAAATACTGCAAATTTGTCGCTAAGCGTGTAACCTAATTTAACATTTAGAATAAAATAATGATGTATTTGCGTAAGTGAGTGGCATGATATTGCACCGTGAGTCAGTGAATGATTGCACGTAAGAAAACATTACATAAAAAGAGTTGACGGCAAACGATTGGACAGAAGGACATTGTTGTTATATACACCGTTACATCTACTTAGTGTAGAGCACCTCACGCTTTTTGTGGCAAATATGCTTAAAGTCGTAAAATATTTTATTGCTATAACAGAACCAGTAGGAGTCGCAATTCCATACCGTATAGGAAGAAAACAGGTACTATAAGGTAACGCATTGTTCTGTCTGCATTTTAATGTGTTTTGGCAGCTGACTGTTGAAAGTTGATTCCACATACATTTACATATATACGAACATAATTATAGTAGGTAAAATTTTCGTACTTCTAAGGCGTCTAATTAGCGGTACTGCCAGATCTGAGATTTTAATTTTTCTCCAATCATTTAATTTGCTGACATTGTTTCGGGGAAAATCGGTATGTCTTTATGGAAGCCATTTTGAAACTCCCGATTTACACACACAATTAAATAACATTTCTTACTTATCGTTTTCTTTAAATTTAATATAAAAAGAGACGCTGACAATTATAAGGCATGAAAAGATTATTCTTGATTATTATAACCACTACTATGGTTACAATGTACATGTCGGTATGCTGTACCCGTTGGCTGATGTTGTCCCTCCGGACATCCGTAGACACGTGGCTAGCTCCCTGGAACGCTTAAGCTTAAAAAAAAGAGACTGACCCGTGGCACCCATTACACCATCACGTGCCCGTAATCCAGAAGCTAAAGAGTCGCCATAGCTTCATTAAAGAAGTATACCTCTGGTCGGGGAAACTAAGCTGGCCCGAATAAGTCTCTGGAAGGAGAGATACCCCACGGCGTCACTCATCCCGCTGCCGGAACTTCTCCCTCCTGGGCATGATCTACCTTGGCAAACTTGGAAGTCCCTAAATGGGCAGCGGGCCCAAGTCGGCAGAAGCAAGGAGTGCATGCACGGTGGGGTTACAGCTCGGAGAGCGCATGTCTTTGTAGTGTCTCTCCCCAGACAATGGCACATCATTAGTCCTTCCCTGCGTGTCCCTACACCTGCACACGCGAGCACCTGTACAACACCACTGATAATGCTATCTCAGTCGCTAAATACTGGTCCTCACAAATATAAACGTGAGAGTCGACACGCCAAGAAGAAGTAGCTACAATACGTTAACATCCTATGACATCCCATTATAGATGTCGCTGAAAAGTCTCCTATTAGGAAAAAAAAATTGGGCCATAGTCCGCCATGCTGCACCCAATGTGAGTTGGGACTTGGGACTTTACACGTTTTCCAAGAGTTGTGAGTGCATGCAGGTTTCATCACGATATTTTCTTTCGCAGTTAGCGAAAAGAAGTATGGAGTGTATGAAAGGAGCCTCCCCACTCGCCGTACCATTCCTTTCCATTACATCTGGCGTACCCTGGCCAACAATCGGAGAGCATCTTACTCCGATTGGCAAATCCTTTCACCTTAAAAAGAAAACCTTTAGCGAGAGGTTACAATAGTACACCGCCACAGAGATTTAAACCGTTGACCTCTGAATTGGCAAACAACCGTTCTCTTTTTTTTACAATGATCGGGACGAACAATTCGTGAGCCTGATGTTAAGCTACACACCTGTCCATAACAGTTGCAATGCCACTCGTAGCTTTAAAGCGCAAAGATCTGACACATATTTCACCCGGAGAAACTTATGTCACCCTGAGACATAAGTTGATGTGACGCATGTACCTGTAATTTCACCAGCCCCTTTACCCTTCAAAACCGGAACACAGTAATGCTGACATTACTGCTTGACGGCAAAAACAGGTACTCTCTTTCACAAGGTCTACTGCTACTAGGCTATATCCCTTCTTTATTACACGCTTAATAAAAAAAGATCTACTTATTTCATGGTGGCACTTCACATGGCTATTTGTATTTGTCTAGTGATAAGTATTTGCCTTGTTTGCCTATTCGACAAATACAACAAACACCAAACCCGCGTTACCGCGCGCTGATCTGTTTCTCAACGCACATCAATGGAGCTAAATAGGCAAATACGCAAGTTAACCGTCCACACTAGGTCATATTCATTATTTTTGACTCCTTATTTTGCTATGTAGATGGTCATATTTGTCAGCTGAACGCATTGTACGTCCAATATTAGAGACTACATTACCGGCACACTATGATGGCCGTTTTGACGTTTGTCCGCTCGTCAAGTTTCGTATTAATTCATAACTACGTAGAAGGAGCTATTTGTTGTACGTTGTTGTCAAAAGTGACGTGTAGTAAAATATGGATGTATAATTTTACGACACAACTCGGCATTTGTTTATCGAAATTCGAAATTTAAAAAAATGAAATGTAATACGATCGTCACATAAAGGATCGCTGTCCAGCACAACTTCTACCTTCGGCAAACCCGCGTCAAAACTCAATGCAAAACAAAGCTGTTTCGAATTGATGATATATTAAGTAAACATTTTTATTTTCGTTTTATTGCAACTTTTAAATCAGCTACTCCTTGCAATACTAGTTATAAATCTGAAAACTTGTAGATGTGACTCGCATTTTATTATATTGTTCGATAATGAATTGAGATTTGCCCGCACTATTGTATGCAGTTAAAACGGCCATCATAGCGCGCCGGTACTGTAGTATGCGATCTCTACTGTACTAAAAGAACAATATTATAAATTAACAAATTACAGAATATGTAGTGACAAGTCATAACCATTGCGGGAACAAAATTAAGTTTCGCGAGCACACTCGTTATTCATTTGACCATTTAGTTACAGTTTTAATGGTGGTTCGATATTGTCGGCAATATCAAAATGATTACTATGATTGAGGCTGTCAGCGCAAAAGTGGTGTTACCCACATTTGTTATAACAAACAAAAAATACAGTGTAACATACGATGTATCGACTCCTCCTACGTAATCTTCTATCGTAAGCGACAAAAATAGTTTTTTTAAATTACTTAATTTTTTATAGTCCGCATTATACTCGGCAGTATAAAACATGAAAGTAATAAGTGTGTCAAATTTAATTGCCATACCTCAAGAATCAAATTATACTCATTTTGATGCTTTTAAAACATTTAAACGTTCCTCTAAAAAAATTGTGAATTTGGGTTTATGATTCTTTACGTAGAAGGAATTGATATTTAGGTTACAAAATACATGAAATGGATTACAAATTACAATAAGATTTGCACAAGTATTATTCAGTCTCGTAAAGCGTAATTTATTTGAAATTGTCTAAAATGAAGATAAAGATTACTTTTCTTTATGAACTTTACAATGAAATGACTATATTTCACTTCGGTCTAAACAAAAATATGAAGTTGCAAAATCGTCACCATTGCATCCACCTTCACATATCTTTTCCATTAACGAGCTGTCGAATTTAATGAATTATCACATAATGATAATATTTATGTATTTTTTCAGGAATACCTAAAAATCCAGATGCATTGATTGAATGTCGGGAGTTTGTGTCGGAAATGTTTAAAGATTCCGCTGTGCATATCGTAATTTGCTGCTCAGACGATTCTGAATTTGTCGGCCAGATTATCGGAGTATCCATTGTGACACTCTCTACCACAGATGATGGAGAATTAGATGACTTAGAGGTAAGAATACACATCACAATCTCATTAATAGTGTGATATTAATGAGTGACGAATTTAAAAAAGTGACATTTAAAATTTACAAGGCACTTAAAGAAAAATATAATACTACACAAAACTTATTTAAATACTCGAAAGTTTATAAATAGAATACTTTCTTGAGGGCTGCACCGTAGGGCATCGTGCTCAGAAGGCTGGCAACATTTCCCCTCTGAATAACTAACCTATTATTTGGCGGAAATAACTGCCAGTCTCGTGGTCACCGGAGGCTTCTCCTCTGACAGCTCGTTTGATAGAAGTTTCGCCTGGGGCCACTGGCACCCAGCATTTCAACTGCAAAAGGCACAAAACTATAGCACTGAGCAAATTTTTGCGAATCTCGGCCGCTCTGGCAACAAAGCCTTTACTACCCACGCTACAGTGCCCACACAGGTCCACACAGGTTGTATCCCACACTAGCTATCTCCCTAACTGCCGTCGACCGAGAGTCATGCCATCAGGCCTCTTACTGTTACTCGAGAACTGCCGGTACTTTAGCGTTGGTGAAGGCCCGTACCATAATGACTTTGAGCGCTGCGTGTCGGGAAATCCGGTCAGCGCTCGAGTACACGAGAGGCCATGGTGGACAAACTCGTCAATAGCATCACCACATTGATGAGGGTGGACTGTTCTTGCCCACTGTCGAAGGCAGACAGTGTGAGGGAGATACCGTCTAGTATTGTAAAATTTTTGGAGAATTGACCATTAAAAATTTTAATTTTAAATATTAATATCGATTGCTAAGGCTTTAGTGATTGTTACACATTGTCATGAATGAATAAAATATATTAAAAATTCGTAAGACGTATCTAGCGTAAATTGGAATGTTCTTTGATAAATTAAAAATAATGTACCTGTTTAAAATAATAACTTTTGTTAAAAAAATTAAAATATGTTGGTTTGCATTAATAGTAGATAGTTATCTTATTGACTTTACCATCTTAGTTAGCCGTGACCATGGGACCTGTAAAGGGCCCGAAATTTTAATTTATTTGCAAAATAAATATTCGCGATTTAAATAGATAGTTTCATTTCCAGTTTAAATGTTACTTTTTACTATTCAGGATGCGCAACGTATAACTTGCATATTTTTATTACTTATTATGTAGATGTATTTATGTATTCGAAATAGGCTTCAAAGTACATAATGTTGATTTTGTACCGATACTTTTATCCTGAAGAAACTGATATGAGTGTAGAAGGCTAAAGAAATTTTTCAAAAGCGCAGCGTTTATAGTATCGGCTTACACCGGGCGGTGCGATGCCGATGGTGTGTGCTTGTGTATCTTTGTACAAGAGGAACAAAAAAGCTACTTTAAAAATTCCAAAATTGTCAGTAACAAACTTAATGTTTTACATTTTTTTTTATGATACGAAGTGATGGGACGAACAAGTCGTGGGCCCAGCCCCATTTAGTAAGCGAAACGCCTGTCCATAACACTCGCAGTACCACTCAGGGCTTTAGCATCGGAGGGGCACTGCCATTGCGCCCGTCACCCTGAGAATAAGTGGACAAGTCCCATATGCCTGTGATTTCACGTGCAACCGTACTTTTCAAAACCGGAATGCAGTAATGCTCACATTACTACTTGGCGTCAGAAATACGTAAGATGGCAGTACTTTCTAGGACGAACTCTTTCACAAGGAGCTCTACTGCTACTTAATTTAATTTTATTAGTACTATAGAATAGATAAATATTTTTTAAATATTATAGAATGATTTTTTTTAAATTTAATATACCAGACAACAACACCAATTGCTTGGTCTCAAGCTAGAGAGTTTCCTGTACCAGAACAACGGAATTCACTGAGAGCCATTTTCCAGAATATCAGATTAAAACCAATTTAGAAAAGTTAATTTCCCAATTTGGTCCTACCTGGAATCGAATCCGGGATGTCCTCAACCTGCGCCCACAGTATGAACTGTTGGGCCACCGAGTTCGTCTAAATGTTAAATTTAACTTGAAATAAAATTGGCGTGTACAGGAATTAGTACTATGTGAATTCTTTGAAGCGGATAACCCAGTGTCAACCCACTTAATTCACTGAAGAAGACAGATATTTTTAACATGCATGGACAATACGCGTGACTTGACACATCATTGTATATTATTTTTTTTATTACAGTTTAAAACAGATGAAGTAAAGAAGTACTTCGAGCTTTTGGAAGGATATTTTTCTCTATACGACGTAATGCAAAATCAGAATTTAACCAAATGTTTTGATGATAGAGGCATCGTTGTACACCCTGACTATAGGGGACTCGGCATTGCTACAAAACTCTTGAAAATGAGGTAAGAAGGACATAACCAAACTCATAAAAGTACAATCGTTACCTTAAGATACCTGACCATCTGGCCGACGTTTTGGTACTGCGAGCCTTCTTACGCATTAAAAAAAAGTAAAGAAATTCCAGCTTTTTGGTTGAAATTATATTAATGAAATGTAATTACACAAATTGGCTTAAACCTTTCTTAAAACGTTATTCGCTAATGATGCGATAAGGAAATCATATCAAAATGAATGTCACGGCTCACAGATGAAAAGTAAAGTTTGTTTAATACCTTCCTTCACACTGATCTATTCAGAAACAAATAGTCGGTAAGGGAGTCAGGAATCTTAGAGCATCGACTATGGCTGCGCCACTGTGCATGATTTCAGTTCCCTGTGTTTATTTACTTCATATATTACAGCTACTTTTACATCATGGATTTAAATATCATTAATTAGATGCCAATTAAAACTTCCACCATATGAAAATACGAAAATAACATTACAATAACACAAACTAAAAAAAATATCCCTCCGAAAAAAAAAACAAACACTTGATAAGAAGTTATTAGTCATAATAGTTTTTATGTTCTTAACGCTGTTACAGAAAAGTTTTATGCGACTGTCATCATTGAGTTAGTTAGATAATATTAATAATCTTGGTAGATAACTATTAATTCTAAAATTAGTACGACTAAATGCAACGTGTGGCAAATTATTCTTACGAAATTTGCTAACTGCAACTTTGAGTATAATATTACTTAGAAGCTCAGGACAATCAATCCTATTCTCTGCAATGCTCAACAAAAACCAGGCATCAGTTATATTTCTCATAATAATAACATTTATTTTTCATTATTTTTCTCAACGCACACAAAATGCTACTCCAGCACATTTAAATAAATGTAAATACATTCTGACAACACGATCCTCCCTCTTACCCGCTCCCCGCTACCTCAAAACTGTCATCATGAGTTCAAAAACAACAACATATTGTACACTGCGGTTCCTTCACAGCCTATTCATAAATATAAAGCAAGCATTGCTTATGTTGGCCATTTGTCAGAGAAGATTTATAAAATTTTGAAATCAAATGATATAAATGTTGCTTTTAAGACAAATAACACTTTGTGCTCTAGACTTTGCAAGGAAAGAGTGGAAAGTGGCAAGAAGTCGGGAGTTTATAAGCTCACCTGTGACACATGTAACAGTGTATATAAAGGTCAATATAACTATAATATATATAAATATATAAAGAGCATGTTTCTTCGTTTAGGCATAAGCACCCAGACAGGTCCAATTTCGCTAAACATTTGTTAGAAACAAATCAACAATAGCAACACTGGGGGTAGCGGGATATAAATACACCAACCGTTCTGAACAAGCTCGCTCTTCGGCCGAGTGTCGAGCAGTCAGCAGCCCCTGAGGATGCCTCATGGAGAGGCGAAACCCGTGTATATACCCGTATATTTTTGGTGATGGTTTGTGACTACAGTTGCGCTTGTGTTATTAATTTTATGCGGAGAGAGGTTGGGATAATTAACTGCATGAAAAAATATTCAACACAAGCGCAGCTATTTTGCACGATTTAACCTTCACTGGGTTCGCGGAGTAGCAAATTAACTTACTTCCATTTTTATTTACTACTTATTTGTTACACCCTATCGGGGTATGTTTGAACTTAGGAATTACCTATGTAATATTGTTTAGAGTAAATAAAAAGATAAAAATAAATAAAAAAGAATACGTGCCCTATGTTGAAAACACATTATCTACTGTGTAACATATTTTCTTCATCATCACCCCTTTTCCACGTCCCAGTGCTGGGCACGAGTCTCCTCCTAGGCGAGGGTTTAGGTCGATATTATTATAGAACCATAGTCCACCACGCTGGCCCAATGCGGGTTGGGGACTTTACAAGTACACAAATTTTAGAGGTGCGAGCCGGATTGGAATCGAACTCGCGGCTTCTGCTTGAAAGGCGGTGGATACGTCAAACTATAAGGCAACGACGCCTTATTTAACATATTTTAATTCATTATAAATTGAAATTAAAATGGTTCTAGCCAATAGACCGGATGTATTCTGATTGGAGAACGATTATTTCTTAATTGAGTCAGTTGGACAGTCGCCAAGTCATAGGCACCTGCCGCCAATCGCTGTGACGGCCTGTGCCAATGACTTTGATTTGTAAGTATTTAATAGCGATACCGCTAACAGTGAAGAAAAGCATCATGATGAAACTTGCATATCTTTACGGACCACCAATTTACATTGGGCCACCGTGGTGGTCTATATATATCGACGCTGGAAAGACAAAAGGGCTAACGTGCATTTGGACAATTTTTATAGGAGAGTTTAAAGTTTTTTTAAGACAATTGCGTTTGTCATCAGCCAGGAAAAACGGTTAACATCATATTTTTACATAACATAACGTACATTTTGTAATAAAATCTTGCAAAATTGTGGTCTATTAGGCTCTCTACTTTTGTAAAAAAAGCCTTTTGCAAAACGTCTAACAGACTAACACATTAGACGCAAAAAAATTCGCTGATTTCAATTATGTTTAGGAGTACATTTGCCCAAAAATGATCTGTTGGTCGTTTTTTCTTTCCAGTGTCGATATGATTCTGTATAAATCTTCTTCTTTCTGTTGATGATGATGACTATAGATTTAAAGAAATGTATATTTCTCTTGCAGGCGAGAAATGTGCAAACACTACGGAGTTCCAGCAACATGTGCTTGGATGACGTCATATGGCTCTCAAAAAGCTGCCCAAAATGATGGCTGGGAAACTGTGTTTGAATTATCTTATGAAGAGTTTGGCGTTAAACATGGTGTCACCTTTACAGCTGTACCTCCTACGTGTAAATTGATGCTTGCCAGGGTTTAGAGTTGTTTTAAACAAACCAACGTTTTGGACCTTTTACAGTTCTACATACCAATATAGGTGGCTATAGAGCCTGCTAAGGGTCCAAAACGTTGGTTGGTTTGGAAAAAGAAATATACGCGATTTAGACCCGAAAAAAAAAGTTTTATTTCCAATGCGTAATAATCGTGAATACGATAATTAAGAACTCGGTATGTACCTAGTACTTCAAAATAATATTATAAGAGTGAAATCAATACGTAATAGTTTGCGGTTATAATAATAGAATAATACGAAACAGGGTTGTACTCCTTCTGATTTATCACCTGCAACATCGTGCTGGAGGAAACGATCACATTTATCCGTGATAATGACCAAGTGATCCAAATATCATAATTAGAAAGAAACCATAACAAATACGTGATAGATATTTTAGTAGCGGTAGAGCTTCCTGTCGCCCAGCAGCATGTGCTGGTGAAACTACAGACACAAGGGTCTTGTCTACTTTATATCTCAGGGTGACGGGCGCAGTGGTGGTTCCCCTCAGACCTTTGCGTTTTACAGCTCAGCGGCATTGACTATTACGGGTAAGCGTGTCACTCGCCACTAGATACATGGTTTGCTCGTCCCATCACTTGATATTATAAAAATACGTGACACAAAGTCCACGACTATTTAGGCTGACTTGGCTATTCGTACGTTAGCTACACTCAGGCATATTTCTTCTTTTTCTACAATATTTTAGCCTAGAACATTTGGAACATTGATCTCATTTCTACGAGGCATCCGCTTTTTTAGGGTTTTATCCCGTATTCAAAAGATATAAAAGGTGAAAAAATCCTCATAGTGTGAATATCCGTCGTGACTGTTTTTCTCAGCGACTCTGTTCTTATCAATCAATTCAAATTTGGCACTGTTATTTATCTGGTGCACGTGACTTACTGGTTTTCAAAGTTTGTCTTCTATTAATTTGTATTTACTTCAAACACTTGCTTGCTATATTATTTCTATGCATTGCCCCACGTCACCTGCCATCTTCACTGAGCTTAAACGACTTGTTTATCCGAAACGCTTAGCTTCTAACCTTATGAATATTAATGCTAACTTGTCGCCGCACGCTATCGGTGTCAGGCCGTCGCACTAACTACGCAGCCAGAATGCGCCGATTATGTAGATGAGGTTCCAATAAGATGATGCTCACTATTAATAGTAATTGTTATATGTATGTTTGTTGTCATCGAAATGGAAAATTTTATTTTAAAAGTGTTTGCTACTATTCACGCGCATTAACGCGATTGAAACTAGATTCACTCGCAGTCAGTAAACCTTTGCACACGTTTACAAATTTAAAGTGGAGACGCCCTAAACGCGTGTCTTCTGTGCATATAAAATGTCCTAAGTGCATACACGCTATATGGCGATACAGGCGACTGCGGCTGGCGGAGCAGTGGAGTCAGGAGTCAGCACGCACCCCTCCCCCACCGCTTACCTCAGCGTTGCAAAGCGATGTGGTTGTTCTTGAATCGGTTCAAACGTGCGTAAAATTCTATACCGATGAGCTTTTCGTATGCACTTCTCGTTTGAATCGACACAAATGCAACAATATGCTGAGCCTCCACGGCACCGTAAACGCGCATTTGTAGTTTTTTTTGTGATTCCAAGTGACGGGATGAACAAGTCATGCCACTGGTGGTAAGCGACACGCCTGTCGTTAATAGTTGCAGTGTCACTCAGAACTTTAAATCACAAAGATCTGATGGGCACTGTCACAGCGCTTGTTACCCTGAGACATAATTTGACAGGTCCCTTGTGCCTGTGATTTCGCCAGCATTCCGTTACCCTTACACTGACAGAAATAGGTAAGGTGGCAGTACTTCTCTGGACGAACTCTTACACAAGGAGCTCTACTACTAATTAAAACGCGCGTCTACACGTATAAATACGCCACGTGCACAAACTCTTAGGTAAATATGAGAAATATTAGGGGTTAAAGTATGAAATTGCCGTTTTATTGCAATAGG